ATGATATTTGGTGGATTTCTGAAAACAATCGGTGATGAAACGTTTGGAACAACCATGACCAATGCGGTGTTTAATTTTGTTCTCTCCGGTACTGGTCTGGTATCAAATCACATGCTGCAACACTACAGTTGCAGAAAAGTTGGACTTGCAGGAGCCGTCATCTTTTTCATCGGGGCCTTCGGTACCTGTTACGTCAACTCTTTGATACAATTGATTATCACCTGGGGAGTACTGCAAGGTTTTGGTCTTGGTCTTATGATGCCGGCATGTTTCACCTCGTTTAACGGCTATTTCAACAAGAAACAAACGTTCATGATGAGCGGTGCACAAACCCTCATTGCAGTTATAGCCATGGGATATCCTTTCATGATTGAAAAATTCAACGAAAGATTCACGTGGAGAGAAACGCAGTTTGTTGTCGCCGGATTAAGTTTACACTGCTTTGTTGCAATGATATCACTGCAACCAGTGAAATGGCACATGAAAAAGAAATATTTAGAACCAAACGAAGCAGTTCTTAACAGTGGTCATAGTCATCTAGAAGTTCCCCAAGTGAGAAGTGGAAATGTATCTCCTCGGAGTCTTCGAGAAAATGAACAACCGCTTCTTTCACATGCTGGTCATGAAGCCCTGATGGGGCACTTGGTTAATAGATTAGAACGAAGAAGACCTTCGATTATTGGTGTTGGTAGTCTTGCAGCGTCTATTACTAGCATGGATAATGTCGGCCATGATGATGATCCAAAGAAAAGTCTTTGGATGAAGATATACGATAATTTTGATTTGGGTCTGTTTAAGGACCCGGTGTTTTTAAACATCTCGTTTGGGATGGCGTTGTGTTTGACTGCTGATATTGCATTCTTGTCTCTGTTTCCTATGATCTTATCGAATGCCAAATTTAGTGGGGAAAACGTTACATTGATTATGACTGTGTACTTCGCCGCGGATTTGGCCGGCAGGATTTTTGTGTCTGTTTTAAGTGCGTGCATGCATGTCAGGAATCGATATCTCGTCTTGGCTGGAGCATTATTCTCTGCGATTTTCAGAATTGGTAATATCTATCGTAAAATGTATAAATTTTGCATTTAATTTTATTTTTGTGGTTTTTAGCATTTGTTTCTTATGATTCTTTCTTATGGGTTTTAATAATCTCAGCCATTTTGGGCTTTCTACGGAGTCTCATTCAAATTCCTCTACCTTTAGTGATAGGAGAAGTTTACGGAGAAAGATTTAGCACTGCTTTCACCTTGTATATGGTTGTTTGTGCCGTTGTGGCTGCGATATTTGGTCCTTTACTTCGTAAGAAAAATTTTAAAAACTTTTAAAACTAACAGAAAAAAAATAATTTTAATTATTTTTAGCTTACGTTAAAGACGTAACAGGGAGTGATATCATGGTGGTCCATCTCCTAACATTTGCTTATCTTACATGCACCATTCCTTGGATAATTGAACTCTGCTACGAAAGAATAAACAATAAAAA